TATATATATATATATATACGAACTTATTTTTGAGCGATATAGTATTTTCTTACTTCCAATTCTAAATTATTTTTTTACTTTATAAAAACTGTTGTAACTCAATGTTTAATAGACTGCGTACAATTTGTCAAAATTCTTATTTAAAAAAAAATGCAAAAGCAGAATTTCCCCTGCGTTTTAAAGTATAGAAACAAGCCTTCGATAAATTTTCCAATCCTTCAAAGTCTCTGACGAAGTAGTTGAAGAAAAAAAAAAAATTCTCGTTCTGAATGTGAAACGAAAGAAACGGAAAAAACGTATTAAATGTAGTTAGAAAAATAAAATAAAGGGCGAAGTGATAGATCACGGTCCTGTTACGAGTGAAAGGTTTCTTTCAATTCATTTATCTTACCCAAGTCTTTGGGTTTGGAAAGACTCGGAGACCGATACAAAAATCATCAATCAAGTCTGATGATGATGACAAGAAACTAATTATTTCTTGTCTTCGCCAATATTCGCGCCAAAGATTTCATTTTATTACAAAAACAAAGGGAAGAAATCAAAACAGATAGCGAAGCATTTATTTTTCAATTTAAAAGCATGGTGTTTGAGAGAGTGTAATTAAGAGGTGTTTAAGTATTTTTCTGACTATTAATCTTAAGCTGAGTAGAGTTGAGGGCTACTAAGCTTGTCTGTTTGATTTATTGTCTTCAGCTGAAGGTCTAGATATTTAATCACATTAAACGGGGGAAGTTGGTTGCTTTGCTGACCGGATGACAATGTGGTTATGTTTGCTTTCCGGTGTAAATGCGGGTTATTTAAAACATGTGTTTATAATTATGCTAGTTTGTAAGTGAATATCATCACACGGAAATGCAATCACAAGTTCGATAATGATCTTATTTGATTCGAAATTCACCCCTTGCTGTTTCAACTTAAAAACATAATTAAAGAGAAAATTTTCTGAGAAATGATCTCTGTGCATTTCAAACAAAATTTCTCAATGCAATTTTGAATCTGATACTGTAACTCAGTGTTACCCATAGTGTGGTACGCGCACCCCAGGGGTGCCGGAACAGTTAAGCGGGGGTACTCGTGCTTATGCGAAATAGCTTGCATCAAACGAAAATTTCAAAATTTTTTATTTAAAAACAAAGCTAACCATGAAAATTTACGTTTACGTATTTTTCTATTGGCTATTTTTTCAGAGTTAACAGTTAATAATTAGTGGTGATAACAGCCAGTTGTGATTTTTAACTTTTGTGCAATTTTTTATAGTAAAAAATACATTCATTTTTTTTATTAGTGGTACATAACGTTACTAAAAATTTAGAAAGGGTACACAAAAGTCATAAGTTTGGGAAACACTGCTGTAACTGATTGTAAACAATTGTTAACTTTCTCAATAGTTGATTGTTAACTTTCTCAATAGTTGATTGTTAACTTTCTCAATAGTTGATTGTTAACTTTCGCCCTTCGCTATCTTGCATTTTAGGGTTAAATTTTTGATATGCATTTTTTTCAGTAATTTTTGTCCCGAACAATTTGATGATAGGCATTCGACGGCATTGTACCTTTTTAGAACATTTATAGATATTTTTTCTTAAAAAATGTAAAGTAATAAAACTATGCGATTTGTATTTTTCAAGTAAAGTAAGTCGTTTAAAGTTTTCAATTATTTTCAAAATTTAATTTATATTTTCTTGAAATTTTATTTCATTTAGGTTTAAGCAAATGAAAAAGAGCTTGGATCATGCTGAAAATTCTTTTAACCAAAATTGTACAAAGACATTAATCAAAAATCTAAAAAAACAGGCAACTGTATACTATTCAACTGTCTTTCAAAAAATGATGATTGCAGAATTGTATTAGAGAAACTTCAAAAGAAAATTTAAAGTACTACGTAGCTTATATTTCAATTTATGATTGGTTAACGACCTTGTATTTTGCGAGTTTCGAAAGATACTGCTCAATCGAGTAAATATCTGCGATCAGTTTATTTGTAAAAATTAAATAACGAGGATTAAATGCGAGGATAAAGTTTTCCCTCCCCGTCTCCACCGCTCTCCGACAGTTGAGTTCGGTTGTGAGGAAATGACCCCTTATTCTGAACCAGGATTCATTGCTGAAAATAAATTCATCAGACTTTGAAACAAAGCTTTACCGGCAAACAAATTGAATAATAATAAATTAAAACAGAGGAAACGTTTGATCGACAACTGCTTTTATTAATTTGCAGTCACCGAATGGCATTCATTTACGAACTTATTAGTTCATTCACTGATTCACTTATTTAGTTATGTTTCATTATTTTATCACGGTATTAAGAATCATTGTTAAATTATTATATTTATTCGAAATTTTAACATCTGCTGGGATAGATTAGGACAGCCCTGGACTTCCTTCCCAACACATATTGTGCCCGCCAACTTCTTATTCAGGCTGATCGGCCTCAGTTTTCCCATTAAAATATAAGCAAATTGTTTTATAATCCTTCTGTTCCATTGTTTTACAATTCATAATTGAACTATTAATTGTTATTGTATAAGAGGTTATTGTTCAACTTTTTCAAGCTGCGGCCCGCCAGGTGATCAGTAACCGGAATTCTGGCCCGTGGGCTCTTTGCAGTTGGACAGTCCTGGATTAGGAGAAACATCGATGTTCGGAGTACCGGGCATGTGTATATCGGGCAGTGGCACTTAACTAGACCTCGTATATATTTCATATTTCGGACATTTACCAAAGCGACTATGTGATTTGTTAAGTTTACGAAAATTCGAAATTTTTATAGAATATTTTAACGACCAATAATATTTAATAGAATCATTTTATTAATTATTTGTACGATTCAGTGCAAATATTTCTCCAACCAGGATTAAAGAGCAAACATTGATCAGAGAAAATTCTAGCAATTTTCGAGTAGCACTTCAAATATTGGGTGATTGATACTAGTTTGATTGTTCAAAAATTTAGCTGATGAAGTTTTTTTGAAGTGAAACTTTTAATGCGACTTCCAACAAGGTTGCGTTAAA